AGGGCACACTGGGTGTGCCGCGCCTGTCCTCCGTATAAGTACCGCGCCCTTCACCCCCAGGGTCCTGGCTCCGACCAAGGTCAATCTCACTTCCTCTACCAAGTTGTAGCCTTCCTTCCGTTCACTGGCTTCCAGTGCAACTCATTTTGTCGTAGCTTTTGCTGCTCCCCCACGCGACTGATAGTCGATCCCTCCCCCAAGCGTCGACTCCAGAGCGACAAAACCCATACCAAAGCGACTTTCCATACGCGACAATACTCCCTTGCGACAATTCCCTTTCTGCCTAAAGCGACAAACCCCCCATTACAACCATGGCCGAAGAAAAGAAGTATTCTGGAGAGTACGTCCGCGAGGCGTATCCTGGTGACGATATCCAACATGGCCAGATGACCGACAACTCCGACGACCTGCAGCGTCACCTTGGTAACCGTCAAATTCAGCTCATCGCTATTGGTGGTTCCATTGGTACTGCTCTGTTTGTGTCAATCGGTGGTGCTCTCAACAAGGGCGGCCCCCTCGGTCTACTCCTCGCATACACTGGATACTCTTGCATCATCGCTCTCGTGAACAACGCCATGGCCGAGATGGCCAGTTTCATGCCTGTCTCCGGAGGCTTCATTCGAATGGCTGGAAAATGGGTTGATGAGTCCCTAGGCTTTATGGCTGGCTGGAACTTCTTCTTCTACGAGGCTCTGCTGATCCCGTTCGAGATCACGGCCCTTAACATTGTGTTGCGGTTCTGGAGAGATGACATTCCAGTCGCTGCTGTCTGTGCGGGCGTCATTGTCCTATACGCGTAAGACCTACCAGTTTGCCCTAAGGGTAGTATCCTATGTAAGGGACAAGAACTAATCGCCTCTAGTGCTTGCAACATTCTGGCTGTAAAGGCTTACGGTGAAGCTGAATTCTGGCTCTCTGGAGGCAAGGTTCTGCTGATCCTGATCCTCTACTGCTTCACCTTCATCACCATGGTCGGAGGTAACCCCCAGAAGGATGCTTACGGTTTCCGACACTGGCGCGACCCGGGCCCAATGCCCGGCGGCAGCTCCCTCGATCGTTTCGAAGGCTTCCTCGGCTCCCTTTGGGCTGCCTCCTTCTGCATTGTTGGTCCTGAGTACATTTCCATGGTCTCCGGTGAAGCCAAGCGCCCACGTGCCTACATCAAGACTGCATTCAAGACAGTTTACTTTCGATTCGGTGCCTTCTTCATCCTCGGCGCTCTTTGCGTTGGCGTTGTTCTAGCCTACAATGACCCAGAGCTCGTCAGTGTCTTGGAGGCAGGAGAGAGCAGCGCTGCCGCATCTCCCTACGTCATCGCCATGAAGAACCTCAACATTGGTGGCCTTCCCCATCTCGTCAACGCCCTGTTGATCACCAGTATCTTCTCTGCCGGAAACACGTACACGTACTGTGCGACTCGCAGTCTGTACTCGCTCGCGATCGAGGGCCGCGCTCCTAAGTTCCTGCGCAAGTGCACCAAGAACGGTGTTCCTATCTACTGCTTTGCGGTAGTCATGATCTTCCCGTTCCTGTCCTTCCTCCAGCTGTCTTCCGACTCCGCCAAGGTCCTGACCTGGCTCGTCAACATCATCACCGCCGGAGGTATCATCAACTACATCGTCATGTGCGGTACCTACCTCGCATTCTACAAGGCTTGCAAGGTCCAGGGTCTCGACCGTAAGACCCTCCCTTACTGTGGTTACTTCCAGCCCTACGGTACCTGGTTCGCGCTATGCTTCGAAATTTGCGTTGTATTCGTGTACGGTTACAGCACCTTTGTGGGAGAATTCTCCATCGAGTCTTTCTTCACATACTACACCATGGTTGGTGTTGCTCCGATCCTGTTCGTGTTCTGGAAGGTCCTCAAGAGGACGAAGTGGCTGAAGCCGCATGAGGTTGACCTTGTCTGGGATGCTCCTCTCATCGACGCCTACGAGGCCTCCTTCATCACACCGCCTGTAGGCTTCTGGACCGAGATGCTTCAGCTCATCGGACTGAAGCGCAACGTCCCCGTGGACAAGCGTGCTGTTTGAATTGCTTCAAGCGAAACAGCGAAACCTGTATAGCAGAGATGTTCTGCCATGATCTAACGTCATTGGATAGATTTTCTATCGCCAGAAGCCTATGAGCACTGGCTGCGCTTTTACATAAATCAATACCCATTCATTCTGCGAATCTCGAGCAACAGCGCCTTGCGAATGATGACCGACCTCCGCTATACACATGCGACAAATAGCGAGGCGGAGAAAGATACCCAAGCGACAGTATGCATTGAGCTTCGACTGTGATGTCTTAATTGTGGCATCCGCTGCAATAGCCTAAGCGACACTGCTAAGACGACTATCCAATGCGACACATCCGTACGAGGCCTCCCACGCGACACTACTATTATTGGCAATTCTGGCGGTACGTCTGTTGTCACGCACAGGCTTACCTAGCATCATACGGTCCGAGACGATAGTTGCTTTGTCTCACTAAGGCACGGTCGCAATTACCTCTTAACGTCGATCGGCATTTCGCCTGCGTGGATTGAATAGAGCAAGATATCTGCAGCTTCCACTTCATCTATCTGGCCTCCGAAGAGTCGCCCGATTTTCCCATGTGTGCATCGAACAGACAAACTACAGCGCTTGGCAATGCTTTCCGAAAGTTTCTCCGCTATTGTTGCGATGCGCGCCAGCCCACCATATCTGCCTCGATGCGCCTCGCGTCAGCCCCCGCGTACGCCACTATCAACCCGTATCAGTTCACCAACACCCATGCACGCAGTCGCCTGCATCAAAGGTTGGTCAATGTTTACAGGCCGAATCTGAGGCCTTGAGACCCAGGAACTCGGTCGTGAGGTGGGCATAATGTCTTACATGTCTTATCGCCAAACTTTCGGCGCGGCTGTAGACATCCTTGACAAAAGACCGCGGGAAAACTTGGGTTCTCGATGCAGACAGCCACCGATTCGCTCGGATCATAGATCCTATGCGCATCTAAGTGACCGTGCCTCGAACGCTGCAACACCATTGAGCTTATCTCGGACCTTCGACTAAGGGAAGACAACACCTCAGGCCATCTCCAGCCATGTTCGCGTCGGTGCGCGATATATAACATCGCTCTTTACATCCCAAAACGTTCAACTGATCCCGTCGCCAGCATCCCGGTACCGCTGGTGGCGCACCGCGATCCCGTCTACACCACGCCTCCGGGTTGATGCATTGGAACCTCCCACTGCCGCGAACACACTATTCATGCTGGTTCACGTCGTTTTGGCTCGATGTCCGTACCTTGCAGGACCTTCTCCGCAATTGATAACCTGTTGATTGTCTAACCGGGATTGCCAGACGGCTCCATCTTTCCCCGCATTGTTCACATCGTGGACTGATCATGTTATTGGATTTACGGGAAATGTATGGCTGAAGACCAAGCTTCATCTAAGACTGCGGAACCGCGATACAGCTCTTGGACGCTCTATCTCTTGGTATCAACGTGGGATACTGGATCACATCGCAGAAAGAGGTAATATGGAGCAGTTGTCGCGTACTGACCATTGCAGCTGATAGACCGAACAACGCGGTCCTTCCCCGTCGGAAAACACATCCCTTGTGAAAGCGCAACATCCAGACATGCTTACTTGGCGGAGAAACGCCCAGTGTGGAATTGACACATGTGATCATCGCTAGACATGCGCTATCTATCATTACCCCCGAGACCGTGGTACGGTACACGTTTCTGACGTTGCGCTGTCGCGCGAGCCAGACGCCCGTCATGTGGAAGGGTACCACTGGAGTCTTACGGTACGCTACCGCGGTTCGTATGCGGTACGCTTGCGGCTCAAGATATCTCCGTGGCGATCTGACGTAGGATGGTTTGTCTAGATCCACCGGTGCTGTCATCCTCCATATGAAGATGGGTGGACAGTAGTAGTAGTGTACCTGTGAGTATAGCGGCCCTGAGATTTTTGACCCGGCGTAGAATGCGAAGCATGCCAGACTGTACACGGGCTGAATTAAATGCTTGTCTATAGATTGATAGCTCGTTCGGTCTCGCCCTATAAGATTGATGAAGCCATGTGCGATCAAGTCCGCAGAAATCCTGTAGACAGTCTTCATCAATTCAGGGATGGATGATCAGATTATCTTCAAAATCACTTCCGTAGACCGCATAAGAATCACACGTCAAGCTTGATAACAATGTTTCTACCAATCCGACGTCTACCATCTTACGCCTTGTCATGAAGCACAGATATCTTTGCCTACTCGCAAGCTATGCCACCCTCTCGCTTGACATTCCGTGCGATACCAGTATCATAGCCATGCCCCCAACAATTGATTGATATACACCAGCCTCGTCAGAAAAACACATGTATCGCACTGCTATCTCTCCGAGTGCTATTGCCTGCATGTCACGACCTCATCCCCATTTCCTCAGCCTCACCACGTGCAACCAACCGCGCTAACACCCCATCCGGCCCGTCAGCCCACTCGGCCCTTCATCCAACTTCGCCCCCCGAACATCGGGCCGAATACCTCCACGCACACCAGCTTCGCTTGCGTCCACGTGCGCTCTAGCCAAGAACATTGGCTGGATGCCCAACGAAGCCACGCCCTTTCCCACTCGTCGCAATACCTTGCGCAACGTAAACAATAAGGCCGAGTCTGGGGTATATGAACGGGACAAGAAAGTCGTCTTCGACATGACATCATGCGGAGAGAAATGTCGTAGGGTATGGGTGAGACTGCGGCGTGGTGTGGGACCGGAGTTGTGCCGAAGTATATCCTGGGGTACGTACTCGTAAGACGAGACGAACCACCGGGTGTTGAGGTGTTTATCTTTCACCGCGGGCGGTGGGTTGGGTGTGAAACTCCGGGGTGCTCGTTGCAGTATGGTGTTGACGTCCGGGCTTTGATATGTCCGCCGTTGGTATTTTCTGGAAGTTTGCATGCCGTACCTGCACCTTCCTTCTGTACTAGCCAATCACACTATGATGTCTTACATCGACACATTGTTCCTCATCGAAACCCATACAGCTGCCCTATAGCTTCCTGCATATCCACAGTATTCAGCGTAATCCGCGGTCTGGGATCCTTGATGCGCGTGAAGATTTCGAAAACGAAGTGCGAACCCAGTGTAAGAAGTAGACAAGGTATGACGAGGCGGCTGAGTATACGACCCCACGATATCCGTTCTTCTTGCGCCTTCTTCTCTTTCAGGTACTCCTTTTCTTCCGTGGTACTAGTTGTTTCCAAAGGTATCGATCCCGCTTCTAGAATGGTTCTGTAACTCATTCGACCGAGCCAGATGTGCCATCCTAGTAGCATAGTCGCAGCGGCGGCGATGCTCATCCATGAGGTCGTCGCGTACGGTGATTGCGCTCTTCGTCCTAGTAATTCGTATATCTCGTCTAGGCCTTGTACCGCGCGGTGCATGGTAAGTGGAACGAAGAGCATGGCTGCTGCGAGTGCGACGACTTCTAAGCCGCGCATGCTGAGGCGCTTGAGAAATGTTGTTTCGGCCTTGCGGACATGCCAATGCGAAAGTAGAGATAGCAACTCATTTGTGCGCGGGTGTGTAGTTGACATTGTTAAGAGCATGGCGATGGGTTTGGTCGTGTCCTTTGGTGAAAGTCTGGCGGGCGCGGTGATGCAGGTGAGGTTTGAAGATAAGAATAAGTTTGAGTGGCGGCAGCAATGGCGATACGATGCTGCAGATTCCTAGCCACGAGCAAGTTTCGTGAGAAGCTTCGATATGGTGGATCGACGGTGTCCTGCGGGATTCGCGTCGTTGTCGTCGTGGTTGCTGTCTTTGTCCGGGGCTTCCCTTCCAAGGTTCCTCTTCGTTTGTAGGTGTCTTGACGCAGCTGTGTCGCAATGGAAGTAACGACTCCTACTTCTTCCCATTCACGTCTCTTGGCTCCCTTCGATCGCTACTTCAATATCAATTTGAATCGCCTCCGCCCCTTTCTGTCGCGTCCTTTGCCCGAGTATGACGACTTTCCCACACTCCTGGCTCTGCGATCCGCACAGCACGCGCAACAAGAATCAGAACGTTGCGCAATCCGTCCTCGACTCAATTGAAACTTCCTGCTCAGTTCGTCTGTCGTCGCCAGCAAAGTTCCCCTGCGTTAAACCACACGTCGCGAAAACCACGTTGCGCGATGAACCTCGGCACTTCGCGTCGTATCCTCGTAAACCCGCTGAACGTAAAATCGGTGCCAAGCCTCTTTTTCGCACAGTCCCTTACCGCTCTTCCTTACTGCAAATCTTATGCCGTGCCGTCCGCAACAAAAATACTCGCACTTGCAAGCGCTCGTACAACAATAACGGTTCCGTGTACAGACGTCGTGTAACAGGGGAAGAAGGAATAGAGTTGGATGATGATGCTTACAACCAGTAGCCGTCCTCGGGGTCTTACCAAGTCTACGCCTTGTGATCCGCACTGCGCCGCAGCCAGCAGCAAGTAGGCTGCCTTGCTGAGGGGCGAGGTAAGCGTTAAGGGTTGCCCCGCATCTGCAGCCTTGCGTCGCTAGCTGTTTAGCCTCGTGTCGTGATTGGTGCCCGGGCAGAAAGCGTGCCTGTGGCTGGTCGAGAGTATGGGATGTGGAGATTGGAGTTACGATGCGAGAGGAAGGTGAGTACCTAATGGAATGAGATGATTCGTGTGGTGCGATGGAATATTTGGGTAATAGAGCTGTTATGGTGTGATATTCATTCCAGAACTATTGCTTCTTCCTAACGCGGAAGTGTGCTGCTGGCTTCATGAAGTACATGACTGCGAGAAAATAAGAGGTCTAGAAGTAACAGACAACCACCATCTACACTTTCTATGCGACAAACAACTTCAAGAAGCCAGGCAACAGTACGAGAGGTCGCAAGGCGCTGCGACTGGAATTCCAAGAGTACAGAACACCGACAAAATGCACGCTAAACTATCAATTCATCCACCACATTTGCGCGACGTATGCCATGTCAGTAGAGATGATCAAGCGCCAGGCCCATGATCCTCAAAGCTAACAGCCCTTGCACGCATCGGTTGCTGCAATCCAGCATCACCATATCCCCTCCCTTCATAATCATTTTCAGTCATAACGCCCAAGCTCTTCCAGGTAGCCTTCTCTCTCAAGTCACCATTCTGGTGATTGTTACCGTACAAGCTGGGTGTACTGGCTCGCTGAACCGTGATACCAATGCCTAGCCCTTGATTCCTGGGTAAAGCACTGGTAGGCGTGTTTTCGTACGAGAAGTCAGCCGTGTTGGCCCTGCCGCGGCCATGTCCTGCGTGATTGCCTTCGTCTTGGATTGTGGCTTCACTGTCAACCGCTGGGCCAGGACTGTGACTGAGCATCCTAGCCTTGCCGTTTGATGGACCTGTGACAAAGTCGCGGGGTTGGGGCGGCGAGTCTGCGAATGGCGTGTACGCGGTTTGAACTCTGTTCAAGGGAGGTGTTGGTGTGTGGCTTCGGCTGCGAGGCGCGCCTTTGGGTGTGCCGCCGGGGCTTGGTGCACGGCTGGGGTATTTTGACATGAGACCACCAGTTTCATTGTCGTCGCTATCGTTGTTCAGGGTCCTGTTACCCCATGAGATATCGCGGTTGTGCGAGTGACGGGGATGGCGGCTGGTGTATTGTGCGATGATAAGTAAGATGTTGTCAAAAAACAGTACTGGCAAAGAAGTTAGCATATGGTCTCAGTCTTTCGATAACAAATGTGGAGGACACTTACCTGCAGCAAAGAACAGCACCACCATGGGAATCATCCAATGACTCCCCTTGAACTTGAAACCACTGGTGGTCTTGTCCGCAATGACGACAGAGATTCCGAGTATAATAAGCGTAAAGCCGACAACAACTCTGTTGATGATCTCGCCAAACTCATACTTCGTCTTGTGGATCTTGTTGAACCAGTACATGATCGCGAGCACCAACAATAGACAACCTGCGCCGATGAAGAACTGCATGGTAGTGGTGTTGAAGACATCAGAAACGGCGTCTAGCTTGTTCCGCGGACTAGCTGTAGTCGCGGCAACGGCGTTGAGCTTCGCCAGAGATTCATAATGTGCCTCGTACACGAAGACTTGCGCCCTGTCGAACATATGACGGGTGACGTCGCCGGTTCGATTGTTCCATTCGTCTGATTTGAAGCCGTATGTGGCAGTGTAATTCTCGATTGCAGTGAAGTTCGTGTTCCAGTTGTATGTAGTGTTCCAGGCTTTGCTCTTGAATCTCCCGTTGATAGCGTTCATGCTCTGGTTGAGGTAGTCGATGTAGCTGCTGGTGTCGGAGTAACCATTGGCTGGATCGTAGTAGTTCTCGGGCTTGAAAGACCAAATCCACTTGAGAGCTTGCACGGCTGAGTTCCACACGATGAGAGAGGTGTTTCCTTCGACGCAGAGGAGGATTGCCGAATGCAGTGGATAGTGTAGCAGAGCCCATACTTGTTGGCGCACGGTTCCGAAGCGGTCATGGGAAAGCTGGTCGAAGTATAGCATCCAGAGGAGATACTAACGTCTCAAATTAGTATTGCTGTTGGAATACGGGGTTTGTTTGCATACCAAGAGAAGAATGGCCGCGATGACAGTTCCAATTTCACTCATGTTGTTGCTCGTCTGGCTTTTGGTGATACATGCCACGCTCTTGACCATTCCGATGATACCCTCCCCAATGATGATGAGCGTCAGGAGTTGCAGCCGCTCCGCTAGATGAGTGTATTTGAAACTGATGATGCGCCATATCATGGCGATAAGAAAGATGAGAAGACCTTCAATGATGGATATGATGACCCTACGCATTCTGTTAGTCTAGAAACCGAAGGCGGAGTACATTACATACCATGCGAGTTGTTCCTCAAGACCAACACGGCCCTTGGGAAATACAACCATGGTAACGGCATAGCATATCGCTGCAGCAGCATGTACACCTGCACTGAGCCCTAATGGAATCAAGGTCTGACGGAACATGCGGCCTTGCCACATAACCACAGCGTATTGAACAGCAATTGCGATTCTGCCGATGACGAGTACGATAGCAAAGTTTCGGTACGATTTCTCGACACCACTGGTGCTGTACTTGTCGAAAACTGGGCCGGCATACACAAAGCCCGTGAAGATGCCGAACTGTATGGCTTTGTGAAAGCGGTTCCATACGCAGTCGATGCTGAAGCGCACGTCAAAAAGTGTGACGCTTAGCCAGGTAAACCACATCAGTGTGAAGAGCTTGATGTAGTTGATGAGTGCTAGTAGTCTGTTAGCTAGTGCATCCAAGATGTAAGAGCTGTACATACATTCTGCATCGGTATGCTGATGCATAGCTGTAAAGTACGCAAGATTCGCAACGAAGAAAAGATCGTAGAAGAGCTCGATCGTGCTGGCTTCGGTATGTTGTTTGTAAACGATGATGTTTCCGCGACTTGTTCTGCCATTCCCAGCAAATGTAGTCGTTTCGTTCGAACCGTCGAGTGTGCTTGTGTGGGTGTTGACTTTCTCCAAATCTGAAGAGTTACCCGATACCACTTCGAGGACATCTTCGTTGATGGGACTTGCAAGTAGGGGCAGATAAGTCCTGTCCTTTCCGTGCGCTGCGTGAGTACTGTTGTGACTGCCGGTAGTCTTCCGTCGTAAACTGAAATAACGTGCTAGATCCATGATGATACAAATGGAAGAAACTGATGATCGTGGGTGGTGGTATGACTGAATTGATGAGAGAGCTGAGCAACAAGGCAGCTACAACACCTGAACATATATACAAGACGCCAGCTACGAGGATGTTGCTTCGTGACGGTGAAACATCTGGTCAGATCGCGTCGGTCCGTAATCGACGACGGGTAGCAGTAAGGCCATCGTTGTATGTGGTAAGCCTTCGCCCCGTAACATGGCCAATTTAAGAGTAGCATTGCTGTGGTAGAAAGCTTAAGTGAGCCATCTATACCGAACGATCGTTTAGATCTGTGTATCTGGGGGGCCGTTAGGTCCTGGTATCACGCTTCTAGAAACAATACCAGTGGGGCGCAGGCAACGGAAACCGCGTTGTGTCAACGGAGAGGCTTGCATAAGAGCGAATGCATGCCAGGAGAGGTTGTGTGATCCGAAGACTATTCTTGAAGCTTGCACTACGGAGGCGTCGTTAGCTGTTGGCAAGGAAGCGCCGTCTGCCGTGAGCCTTGCAGATCTGCTGCATGGTGGTTGTTGCACGATACACCTCTGTGTATCGGAGATCGGTAAAGCCAACCATGGCGTCGGTGTGAGCGGTGCAGGAGCATTGAGCCGTGCCGATCTGCCAGGATGACTGCCAATGTCGGACGTACCAGCATGCGCCGCCAAGCTTTCAAATAAGCTCAGTGTGCACAAGTCTTCGGTCTCGCAAGATGCTGCGGACCAGGCTGAGCATTCGTTCATTCGCCGAACACTGTCCCTACTTCGAGCCTGCTGACATTTGCCAAGATAGTGCACATGTTGCTGTAGCATGCCAAGCCATTCAGCTGGCTGGTGAGGTCTCGATTTGGAAGACTATGCCAGCGCAAGTGCCGGGAAGAGCGAATGAGATGCGAACAGCGAACCACGCCCTTCCAGACTAGTACATGCACAAGCGCCTATCGTTCCATGTGGTTACCCAGATGGCAGTAAAGGTTGTAGAGGTTAATGTTATTCAATTCGGCGATTATTAGCAAGTCGCGTCTCAAAATGCCTGCACAGTTTCAGCACATTTGAATCATTAGATTCCTTTCGCCCAAAGATATGCATATCCGCAGCTCAGTGACCGAAAGAGGAGCTTTGCCACTGAGTTGGCTATTTCGAGAAGATGATCGGCAAGCGTTCGTGATCGAATTTAAGACGTCGCAAAGCCCTTGCTGGAGATATTTTGGCGTCCACGGTTGCTATCTTCGTGCCGGTTCAACGTATTCACTGGCTCCCTCCTCAAAGTCCTCATCTGATGAGCTCTCATCGTCGTCTTCGTCTTCGTTTTGGGCGGCCTCGTAATCGTCGTCGAGCTCGTCATCGTCATCATCCGGAACGGGTGTACTTGGAGGTGGACGCCTGGAACGTAACACGCGACCGGTGCTGTTGGCTGCAGCATCAAGTCTGTTCACTTTGGCTCTCACTCTGCCCTGTCTACCTTCCCTTTCAAAGTTGAGGGGCCATTCCAGCTCGAGAGCCTGCTGCCTGGTGCCAGCATTATCGATAATCCAGTTATACGGCTGCTTGAGTACGATCTCGGTACGAATGACGAAGGTTCCCCAGCCTCGAGCTTCGTACTCATAAGGCGGCTTTCGGATGATGACGTGGGATCGTCGAAATGTTGGATGCTATCATGTGTTAGCTCTGTAACGATAGGAAGTGGGCTGCGCGCAGGTGTTTCGAATTGCACGCCTCCGTGATCTTCTTGGACTCCCATGAGGCTATCATCCGCATCGAGCAGTCGTGTATTGAGCCACCCCTTGGCTGAGACGAAACAGGAACTGAGAACATACCAGATAAATATGCACTTCCTTAATCAAATCCGGCCTCGACGTGCGCACAAAGAACGTCCAGTCATGCTCGTTATCGTCACCAGCATTCCTAATAAGCCTATGCTTATTCCCTATGAGCATCATGACGCCCTCAAAGCCATCACGTCCGATACGTGACCCCCTCTCCTCTTCCTCTTCAACACGCCTTTCAGCATACGTGATAGGATATTTCTGTTCTAACTGTCTTGCCAACGCGTTATCCGGAGTTGCGGCAGTACGCGTCCTGCACATGGGACAGTTGCACTCGAGGTCGTACGTTGGATCGTAGTTCGGATCGAAGTCTTCGAGGTTCACGTCCCAACTGGAGGGTTCGATGGAATACGTGTTGGAGGTGTCGGACCATTGTGCCATGCAGGACGCGCATAGCAGATGGTTGCACTGGGTTTTCACGGGCGTGAAGAGGAGGAGCTGACATATCTGGAGTCTGTTAGCAAAGATACGCGATTTTGCGTGTTGCGCTTACGGGGCAAAGGTCATCGTGCGCGACTTGTTCCGGGTTCGAAGGTGTTGCTGCTTCGGCCATGATGCGACGATGAGGAGACGAAGAGAAAGATCAAGTGATTCCAGTAGGAGGGCAGTCTTTAGCTGCCGTCCCTTGGTGTATTGGCGGCATGGCTCGCGTCGTGATGTTGTTATCGTCATTGGTTAAGGCGTCCTCCAGGCATCAGTCCGCGCCGCACGAATTAAGGCGGGGAGGCAGCTCACGTGATCACGCGACAAGGTTGATACAGCCGATTCCAACATGCACTCCCATTTCGCGCAACAGACGACTAACTTCATCAAACGATTCTCGCCGCGATACCCTCCCCATCCAATGAGATGTACTTTCCCAACATGAACCCTGCTCCGACTCTCCTATACCTCCTCTCGCCCCTCCCCGTCGTCCCCTGCGTCGCTGTGACAAGCAAGACGTAGTATCGCCTCAGCAGATTCGAGCTTCCGCCCTTCATTTTCGCGACAATGACACACTGAGTGACTTGACCGTCGCTCGCGCTTGTCCTCTCAGCATCATACGTTATCTTGACCTCCTCTGGCAATCTCCCCGCTACTTTAAAGTCGCGGACCCGAGCTATGATGGCGATTTCGTCCTCCTGCGGACTGGTGTCTGTCGTGGAATGTTTGTTGCCACCACGAGTCCAAGGCGGGATTATCTCGGTGCGCTCCCAGTCTGCTTGGTCGAAAGGCGGATCGATGTAGTCTATACCACCTCGGTACGCCATCCAGGACCAGCTTGGGACTTTCAACTTGCGCGCTGGTGGGAACTCAATCGTGGGCATATTCGGAAGATCCCCGTTTTCTTCGCCGCGTTGCCACAAGAGACTCCGATGGAATAGTCCGCCGTCTTCTTTGTCGCCATCGTCAAAGATGCCAAACGCTCCTTTTGTGTTGAAAGCACTTTGTAGACGCTTCTCGAGACCCGCAATGGCAAAAGGACGGTCGGAGTAGCGCGTGAAGTCGAGACGAGAGTATTGCTTGTAGAGGCCTTGAAAGTAAGCAATCTTCCGTGCGCGGTTGGCCCGCATGGCCTTGTTGGGGAAGTTTGGGTCACCAAGGAAATCGGCCATATTGCTAGGCTTTGGGTTAGTGATGATTGAGCAAGCGATATGTCTTGTCATGACTTACTTATGCAGTTTGGCCAGGGTTTCGCATCGAACACCTTGGCCGCACTCGAAGTATGTCTGGTTCTCCGTGAAGTAGATGGTCCGTCGTGCCAGCGCGCGCTCTTGCAACACCCAACCTCTCTTGTTCAAAGACCCCTCGATGACATCTTTACTGAAGTTATCGATAGTCTTGCAGACGAAGAAGGGCTTTTCGTTGTCTCGCTGAATAGTAATATACTCCCGCTGTGGCCTGGAATCAAGAAACCCATCACCTTGGTTGCTTGCTCGGCTTGCAGCGAGTACACAATATGCTCCACTAAAGACTGCCTCCATATTCTTAGATTCCTCGTTGAAATCTCCGTGTTCACCTTGGATGATGCAGAGCGAATCTACCCACAAATAGCGGATGCCAATCTTCCGTGTGCATTTGACGGCGTCATGAAAGGTTGCTGGGAGCTCACCTTCGGGAATGGCTTCAAGGTATTGCTCTAGGTTCTCTGGCAGAGTACAAAACGGTGTGTACTTCGAGGTGTCTCCCCAGGGATGTGACAGTGCGATGTACTGTTTGCTCGGGATGTGCTCTCGCTTCGTCTCGAGGAGGCGCAGCATAGGCGTACCGATAGTGCCCACGTCGAGGAGTCTGGTCGGCAAGCTATGGGATAGCCCCTTACATCCTGCGTGATTCGTATCGCAATCTTTGAGCCACAGCTTTATGATGCTGAAGAACGCGTCCGATCCAGCTTCTGGGAGCTCTGGGAAGCCAATCTGGATTGGACACGGGAGATCTGTTTCTGGGCTTCTGATCAGAGAAAGAACAGGATACGAGTCGCCTGTCATGATGATATTTGATTGGTCTCGCTGGAATACCGCCCGGTCTCCTTTGGGCTCTTCGGCTTGGTTGTGAACTTCATACAGCATTCTGCACAGATCACATTCCGGCGCACGATCTTCCAATGTTGACACCCGCTCTTCGATGCTGAAACCGCCTTTTAGGAAATCTTGCGCCGAGCATGAGCCACAGAGTCGATGTTGGAAGCGTGTCTGTGGTATGAATTCTTGTATGCCGGTACTTGCGACGACTTTTTCAGCGAAGTTGTTATCGATCTGAAACTCCCAGTCTTTGAGAGGCGGAAGGGTGTAGTCAGCGCCGATAGGTTTACCAAGCACTCCACTTTTGAGTGACCCTGATGGCGGCAGGTTGTTCAACGGGAGATTGGCACTGTTGGGCGATAGCATTGGGGCCGTGAAGGTTGGCGTTCTGACGTTGGTGCGGTCTTTACCGGTGAACATATAACCGGACATATTCTGCTTCCTCAATATGACATCAAGTTCGTCCCGAAACTGCGCGGCCGTAGCTCGATAGCGTGTGATAGATTGACCGAGTGCTGGAGGAAGCAGAGGCCGGCCACTCAGAGTCCCACTCTTCCTATTGGGTGGCAAATTGACGACTAGTAGCATCTCGCGTACAATCCTGAGCAAGTCTTTCGTCGCCGAGATGCGCCCTGCTGAACATTCCGGATCTTTGTTCTGAATATGG